TCCAGAAGACTATTTTAACCACTTTCCCATTCAAGCCAGCTACTTACCTGCACAAAACAGTACTCCGACCCCAAATCCTGCTTCATAACAACCTCAACTAAATAGGAAGGCAAGTCTCAGTAGCTATGCTCCATTAGCCACTCATCCCATGATTCCTCAGGTGACTGTAGCCCCCAAATAGCCACTCACTTTCTTTTTCTTTTTTGTGGTTCTGGGGATTTGTACCCAGGGCCTTCTTAATGAGCTATACCCGTAACCCTTTTTAAACAAAAATGCTTTTGAGACAGCATCTCACTAAGTTCTAAGTTGTCCAGGCTGGGCATGAACTTGCAGCCCTCCTGCCTCAGCTTCCCAGAATGCTGGGATTATAAGCATGTAGTATCATGTCACACTGACTCCCTTTTTCTGTTATTTTGGTAACTATCTGTTGTCATTGTCTAAAACTACTACCTTCTATCATTTGAGTGTGTGTGTATTTTTTTTTAAATTTCAGACAGAGTTTAAGTTGATAAATTGCCCAGGCTGGGCATGAACTTTTGCTACTCCTGTCTTGGCCTTCCAAAATGCTGGGATTACTGGTGTGTGTCACCACATCCAGCTTGGATTTTCTACATTAGCAGGAAACTAGGTTCATTTCTGGAAGATTATAGGTCATAGTAGCAAAGGAGAAAAAAACACAAAAATAGAAGGAATATCAACTAGGCCTGTAAGATATGAATACTGAATTAATGGAATTTTGCAAGTGGACATGGCCCAATGTGCCAACTCAAAGAGAAAAGACAGTAATGTAGGGAAATGCTGAGTGATCCAACCAGTGACGCCAATGCCAGTCCTCTTGGATCAGTGCAGGACGTTCGGGAAACAGACACCCACCAGGAAAGATGCGGGAAGGTGTCCAGGAACGTGATCAGTTACTCGAGTCTGGGGATGACATCTCTGGGAGTGGAATGGAATATGTAGTTTAGAAAAACATTGATGTAAGGTACTTGTACATTCTAAAGAATGCTAAACCTTACTGCTGTCTACGTCCATAACCACCACCACCACGATGTTGTGTCAACTGCAGCAAATAACAAGAGTGTAAGGTTCGGAAGCATGGGGATCCTGGACTCAGAGAAGCTCCTTGAGCTTCATGCTCCCAAACTAGGCACTGAGGACGCCCCTCCCGCAAAGAAAATCTGGTACAAAACCCCAAGAGATCTTCCTCCAGCACCAACCACCCTGAAGCGCCTTCTGCAAGATGCTCTGGCCTCTGCCAATTAATTGGGTCAAAGGGGAGTTAGTGTAGGCAAATTAGCAAGTCCGGGATAGCCCTAATAGCACTGGAAAAGCAGGTGACTCCTACTGATTCTTATAAAACTAGCACCTACTACAGCCTGCGTCGGCCACAGTTCCAAACAAGAACCCCATTCTAAAGACGGGAAAACGGAAGCACAGGCATTTAGATAAACCAGGCCTTAATTCCTGGACTCTGAACAGGGAACCTGGAGGCCAAGTGATCAAGAGAATAAAGGAGGAGGAAGTAGAGGAGGGGACTGGGAAGAGCGGATTAAAGGGGCGGGAGGTCAGCTCTGGGCCGGAGTTGAAAGAACCCGCCGGAAGCGGGAAGCTGGGAGCTCTGTTTGCACACGGACAGATTTTTCAGGAGCGGTTCGGAGGAGGCGCGCCACCCCAAGACGCTGAGTCACGGTGGGCGGCGAGGGCGAGGACCGCGCCTCCCTGGGACTGGGCGAAGCTCCGGGAGCGGGCACGCACTAGGGGGGCGGGAAAGCGAGCCCACGCGCAAGGGCGACGCAGCCACGCGCAGGTACCGATGAGGGAGGAAGGGCGCGTCTGCGTGTGGGCCGACACGTCCGGGGTGGGCGGGGCGAGCGCAAGTGCGATGTGCGTGTGCGCGTGCGCGCGCAGGGTCTGGGGTTGGGGACGACGGAAGGTGAGCTGGGGAACATCCTAATCCGCACGTCTGGGATGGATGCGGTGTGCGCTTGTGCGCACGCTCAGTGGGGGCGGGGCACGCTTGCGCTCGCTAGCGGTCCCGCGCGTTCGCGGTGTCCGTTTCCTTAAGAGGGGCTGCTTGACTCGGACTCCGAAGCGTCACGGGTTTCCTCTGTGAGTCGGCTGCTCGCACTTTAAAAAAGAAAATCTGTTCCTGCCATAAATAGGGTGTGGTTGCCATGAGAATAAAAAGCTTTATACGAAATAAAGATCTACATAGTCCAGTCCGTACGTGGTATGTTTTTCTTTGTTTACTGCATTTTCCCCCGTACTGAAGACTGAGCCAGGGCCTTTGCACTGAGCCACAGCCCCAGCTTTTTACTTTATTTTGAGGCAGGGTTGCTCTAAGTTGTCCAGGTTGGATTTGTGATCCTCGCCCCCGCACCCGTTGTTTTCTTTTTGTCCAATATGGGAGCCCTTTTATTTTTATTTTTTATTTCGTGAGAACCTTTTAAAAAGTCTAGTTTGTTTTATTTATTTTTGCTGTGTATTAGAATTCGCAAACTCTGGCCCTGGCAGCACCTCCTCTGGTACTGGGAACTGTGCTTCTCCCTGGACAAGCCTTGAACGAGACTCCTTGCTGTATTGAGGCCCTCTGGTGGGCGGAACAATACCCAACACACAAGATTGTAGGGCAGTGCTAAGTGGTGTGATGGATGAAAAACAGGTTAAAAGATGGGCACTGGCCCCAGATTACTAACAGGTTATTTATTTTGAGGCAAGGTCTCAGTATGTAGTTCAGACTGTCCTTATAATTCACTATGTAGCGCAGGCTGGCCTTGAACGCATGGCAATCCTCTTGCCTCAGCCTCCTGAGTGCGGGGATTACAGGTGTACACCACCATGCCCGGTCACTGATGGATTCTTAAGCAACCTTAAAATCAACAGGCAAGGTTGAGTGGATTGGAGAGGGGTGTTGGGTGCATGGAGGGGAAACCTTGAGACCCTAGAGAGGCAGGAGCCTGGGGAGGGCCTGATGGGAGGAGATGTAAGATCATGGAATTAAAATGGAGATACATGAATAAGGCTTGCTGACTACTTAGATGAGAGTAAAGAGGAGCCAGTGTTTTCTAGGATTTCAGCCTGAGCAACGGGAACGGCTGGTGGTACTCTTGTTAAGGATGGAGGAGGTGGGGGTGTCTACACTAAAAGACGAGTTTTAACGGTAGGGACTGCATCATTTTTGTAGCAAAGACCTGGCTCCTAGGGAATAAGCACAGCACTCCTGAAACAATCTTTCCCTGCTACCTAGGCCCATGTCCCCAACTCAGTCCCAACACAAGCCACATCCAGTCCCCTCATAGGAATAGCAGCCTGGGTCCATTGAGCCTGTCCCTGCAGAATTGTAAGACCAGCTGCACATGCTACTTCTAGCAGCCTGCCCCTGCAGGTTCCCTGGCCTCTTGGGTTAGAAGGCAGCGAGTCATGCTGACCATACACTTGTACGTGACTTTTTAGCAATTGAGAAGATGACCTTTGGGAGGCGTTTCTTTTTTGAGACAGGGTACCCTTATGTTGTCCAGGCTGACCTCAACTCGAGATGATTCTCCTGCCTTGGTGTCCCGAGTGCCTAAACCAGCTATGGCCTTTGGGCAGCCAGTGGGAGGGCTATGGTTGGGTGTGGCTCTCTGCCCATCCACTCCTGCTCCTCGGAACCCCTGTCTTCCCTCTTGTCAGATCTCACGGAGCCACCATGCCCAGCTTTTTCTTTCTTTTTGAGACAAAGTTTTGTGTAGTCCAGATTAGCCTCGAATTTAGGGCAGTCCTCTTGCTTCTGCCTAAGTGATTACAGGCATGCACCACCATGCCTTCTCCTTTTCTTTTGGCAGTTCTGGGGATTGATTCCAGGGGCTTCACCCTGATCTACCAGCCTCCAACCCACTCCAGCAGCCTTGTGTTTAATTTGGAGGCAGAGTCTTACTAAGTTGTCAAGTTTTCTAGGCTGGGCTCAAACTTGCAATCCTCTTGCCTCAGTTTCAATTACAGGAGTGTGCTACTACGCTCAGATAGGTGTATTTTTTTTTCAGATCTTGCAGGTCACAGGGGTGGCCACAAGGCACACAGGGGACCATCCCTGCACAGCCTCACAGCTGCCACCTGGAAGGAGCGCCTGCAGTAGGAAAGGAGGATCATAAGCCTTGTGAGTACCCCAAGTATAACATTTGTTCCACGGAACCAAAAACAAAGCCGCCCAAATCTGTTCCACGTCCATCTATCCAGCACGTAGCAGGGCTGCAGGACTTCTCTCACATCATGGATCTTGTAAACTGCAGCCTGCGAACAGCACTGGCCACACGTTAAACAGGAACACACTTGAATAAATGTAAGTGGGAGGTTTTTTCTGCTAGCCTTTTGGTAGTTTATTGGTGCTGAACTGGATGCAGGACCTTGGGCATGCTAAGCATGCGCTCTACCACTGAGCTACACCTCCAGCCCCTGCTAGCATTTTAATGACTTTCCAATGGGACTGCAATGGAACACGGCTGTTAACTAAGCATCCTTGTCCTGAGGTACATATGGAAGGCTCTGGGACTTGGTCCCGGTGCTGAACTTCAGGGTATCTCAGTAGTATGCCTGATGGCTTGTGGGTTATGTGTTAATGCTCACATTACTCTATTTTCCTAAATTCATGTCTGCTCCTTGGAAAAGTGGGGAGGCAGGTCACAGCATCTGTGCATGGTGGGAAATGGATGTCAGTAGATCCCAACTCAGAGTGCCTGCATCCTTCCAGGAGACAGCCTCCTTCACCTGTGTTGCCTCCACCTGCACAGAGGCCTAAATCAACCATGGCCTTAGGGCAGCCAGTGGGAGGGCTATGGTTGGGCGCGGTTTTCTGCCCATCCACTCCAGCTCCTCCGAATCCCTAACTCCTCTCCCCCTTGACAAGCCTCACAGAGGACAGACTGACCTAAAAAGCAACTCATGCACAGCTTTTCACAGTGGTAAGTCAGGCAGCGCTTCTGAAGTGGGGTCTGCTGTAGTTAACTTTAAATAAAGATACAGAATATTATTAAATGTATATTTTTTAATAAAGCCAATAGTTATTTTACTTATAGGAGCTTTATAAGTAAGATACAAAATGTAGAGTTCCAGTTTGGAAGCATTGTAACTATTCACAAAATGTCCTGCTGATGCCCGAGCAAGGCAGCCACGCACGGCCATACCACGGACACACACACTCACACGTGTGCACACACACATGCGCTTTGGCGAGACCCCTCTGCCGAGCGCAGCACCTGGAATTACCAGTGTTCAGAGCAAGGCGGTGCTGGGAATACAGCACCTACACGAGACTACACAAACAGCTTCACACAGTCTTACAGCCCATGGAGATGCAGTTACGAAATGTCTTTCTAAATAGAGAACAAACTGGAAAGTGACAGTTAGCAATGTTACTTGCACTGGGGCATCGAAGACTGACCTCTATTCAGGGCAAGGTCTTTGGGAAGACCCTGCTAAAACAAAAGTATTTCAGTATAATAGAACTTGAAATACAAGGTACTCTGGACACATTACTGAAGGAAATAGAAAACTTTCTTACAAGTAGAACAGCCACAAAGAACCTTAACAGAGATTAGTGTGCACACTGACAGCTAATACAGACAAGAGCCACACGGGGTTGGTGCAAAGCATGTGCCTGAAAAACTCTTATGTACACATAGTTTTCTGTAAACACAGTGAGGTGAATGTTCAGAACCATGGGGAAAGGATCATTAAGTACAGGCAGCAGTGACATCCCCCACACAGCACAAAAGACAACACCCGAGGCCTGGAAACAGCCTGACAACACAGTACTAAAAATGCAGGTGGCTGGGCTCAGATAACCTAAGGGTCCTCTATAATTTGTGTGTGTGTGTATGGTATGTGTACATACATACATATATATGTATATATATATATTCTTTTTGGTATTTTTAAATATAAATTTACTTATATCTGTAGAAAAATGAGAACATAAATGTGTTATTACAATCTTTGCTGGAAAAGTTTATATGGAGTTAGAAAGAATAAACCATTTATTAGTAGTTAACATATATTAAAATGGTTTAATGATTTAAGAAAATATAAAAAAAATATTAATACTGTCAAACTTTCATACCAGAAAATATCATGGATTTTTTAATTAGACTTTTTCAAAGATGAAATATGAAAAATTTAAATAAGTTTTATATAAAGAACTTTCTGCAACCTCAATTGTACAGTGGGATATGTCTAGTCTATATAGATATATTTATTATTTCTCAATTTAAGCACCATTCAATTCTGGATCCATTCTGGCTGGGAAATATCCCTAAATCCACAAGATGTTATCTACTTAATGGCACATGTTAACTGAAAATGAGGTGTTTTTTTCCCTTCCTAAAGAAAAGACTTTAATTCTTGTCTACATCTTAATTGGTTTGTCTTCTGAGCCAGCTCACAAATGTCACTGCAGTTTCAAGTGCAGGTATCTCGGTGCAGCCCGGCAGCCACCGTCGCCATCCCGAGGACTGCTCAGTGCTCTGGCCATGTGGCAAGGTCTGAGGGCAGCAGGTGCAGGTCTGCCCCAGACCTCAGCCAGCTGGCTCCTCTCCATGCACCACCAGGAACAGAGCTCCGGAATCAGTTTCACAATCCTGCTTTTGTACATCTGGTAGTGGCTACATCCCCCAGATGCTTCTTGGGTGAAAGAGGTTGCCCACTCACAGAATACCCAGCGGATTGCTTCTGACTGCAATATTCTCTACCTCGCCCATTTCGTGTAAGTTTAAATATAGTGTTGAGTAAATCCCCAGCCTGTGTATCTGTTATCTTAAAATATTCAATGCATTCTACGCAGATGTTTTAACTAAAAACCTACATGAACAATAGCTATGAAATCAGTGATTGGTGTGGTCACCACTCAATGTGTTAAGGAGGGAAAGGAGAAGCTTTCAGAAGAATGGTCAGTTTTGCTCTCAGCCTTCAGGCCTGACACCTTCCCAACACACGGCAGGATTAGCAACCTTAGAACTGTGTTTCTCAAAGTGTGGCCTCTGGCCACCTGCATCAGAATCACCTGAGGTGCTTAGTTAAACATGCAGATTATCCAGTAGCCCCCTAAGTGTCAGAAATCTCCATTTTCAGCTGGTTCTCCAGGGGTTTGCTGCCTTCGAAGTTTGAGAAACCAGGCTATAAAGGCTAGGAGCTGCCGACTACCCCTGTTGCCAAGGAACCCTCCTTGGGACAGGGTGCACTGGTCCTCTTGGGGGCTGGTATCAGCTAGTCAGCAAGGGGGCAGGGACACCGGCCCCCACCGCTCTGGGCAGGCAGGCAGGCAGGCTGGCCCTGCATCAGTACTGGGGCAAGTAGGCTGGCCTGCGCTCAGCCTTCCCGGGGAAGGCCTTGAAGCCCTTGGGTGCCGCCTTGTGTGCTGGTGGGGGTGGGGGCTGCGGCGGAGTCTGCACGTAAGTGAAGGAGGCGGCATTGCAGTCGTTGGTCGCAGCCCACACAGGGGACTGCAGCATCTGCATGGTGTCGTTCCACTGGCTGCCAGGGCTGGCGACTGCATAGAGTGGTGCGCTTGGGCTGGGCAGTGTGCTGGGGAGCGGAGAAGGGTGCTGCCAGGGTGCTTTGGGTGGCCATGTTTTGGTTTTGTTATCCTGAGAGAAAGAAGAGAGTTCTTAGTGGCATTTCTGTTGATTTGTCATTCTTTCCCACCTCCCCAGATCTCTGGCTTTTCTTTCTTTTTTTCTTGTCTTTTTGAGATAGGGTCTGGATATGCAGTTAAGGCTGGCCTTGAGCTCACTTTGTAGCCAGGGCTAGTCTTGAACTCGCAACGATCCTCCTGCCTCAGCCTCCCGAGTGCTGGGATTACAGGCACGTGCCACCACGCCCTGCACTGGCTTTTCTTTCTACCTAGCAGGCAGGGTGGGAGTGCCAGCCTTCCCCACATCCTGGAGCGCTGGAACTTCTTACAATGATAGCAGTGATCTATGCCTTCACTGTCCAATACAGAAGCCTCTGGTCATATAATAAACAGGTGCACGTGGCAAGTGGCTATTATACTAGACAGTACAACCCTAGACCTTCCTCTACATTTGGCTGAGCCAGCTGAGATAATGAATCATTTAGACAATCATGAGGAAAAAAGTGATTTGGCACAAAGAACCCTCATGACTTAGAGGTCCTCTTAAAACCGAAGCTCTAGAACTTTCTCCATGTTTTTACCTGGTTCATGTCCTCCACTGTAGTAAGGAGAGGTGGTGAGGGCAGCGTGCTGGTCTCTTGCTCTCCACTGCTGTGTTTTCTGAAAGAACCAAGAACTCAGAACAGTAGTTGCCTGGCTGCTTGTCCAGCTTAGCTCTGGGGGACAACCTAGCTGCTTGTCTCTGGTGTCTCAGGGCTCGGTTTTATGTGAGGTCTTGAGTCCATCGTGTTCAGGGTAAGGGGGCCAGCACATGCAGGCGGATAGGGTGGGGGGCAGGCATAAAGAAGGGCACTGGCTTCTCTCATCTGCTCACCAACACCACCAGCTTTGGCTTTTGTTAATTTGTTCAGCAGATCCTGAGTGTTTACCATGGGCTGGGGCTGTATGGAATTAAACTGAGCCCTGAATGAGAAAGGCAGGGTGTAGGTCAGAGCCAGTGCTGCATGTGCTGCGGCAGTCTTTGCAGAGGTGGTTCTAGAGGTGCTTTCTGCATGTCTAGCCAGACACAGCTCTGAATCCTCCAGCAGGCTTGAGTCTCGGTTCACAGCAGCGCTGCATGCAGACACATGGGCCTCACACTCACCGACCACCCTTACTTCTTCACCCTCACACAACCTTACCAGCCATTCCTCATTTCAGTCAGCCCTCTGTTCTTCAGAGGCCTCTCAACCACCCTTCTCAGAGGAGAAAAATCCACATGTTCCTGCATTTTCAACCCTTACATGCTGCTTTATTTTTCTTTATAACACCTAACCCAACCTGACACTTCATAAATTCTTCCTCACTAGACTATTATTTTGTTTGTTTGTTTGTTTTCCAGTACCAGGAATTGAACTCACGACCTCGTGCTTGCCAGGCAGGCACTGGGCCACTGAGCTAAATCCCCAGCCCCCTAGACTTATTATTTCCATGAGGAAGGAAGGGAACTTTTTATTTGCTGCTATACCACTAAGGCCTAGTACATAACAGATGCTGATGTATGAAAGAATAAATGAATAAACCCCTTTAACTTGGAGCCTCAGCTTCCTCACCTGTGAATGGGGGGTAAAACTGTATTTATATGGTGACTGTTACAGGCTGAACTATGTCCTCTTATCAGTTTATATGCTGAAGTTCTAGGCTCCTGTACCCTAGAATGTGACTGCATTTAGAGCCTTACAGAGGTAATTAGGTTAAAATGAGGCATTAGGCTGGGCCCTAATCCAGTCTGATTTATAAGAAGACAAAATGCAGACACAGACACACTGAAGGGAGATCATTAAAACCAGAAGAAGCCAGCTATCACCACCCTGCAATGGTGAGACGGGTTTTTAGCACTATTCGAGGAAGGGGGTCTCAGAAGAAACCACCCTGCCAGTATCTAGATTTGTAGTGTCTAAAACTGTGAGAAAATACATTTTTGTTGCTAAAGCCATCTACTCTATGGTACTTTGTTACGGCAGAGCTACCTAACAAAACAGTAATACAGTGATAGTGAGAATTGAGAAAATGTACGCAAACTACTTAGTCCCAGGCCCGGCCTACAGAAAGCACCCTCACTTGTCATCCTGGTCAACATCACTATTACTGTTTCTCATATCCTAACCCTTCCATCTTTATCTACATGTCCCTTACTGCTCCTCCACTGAAGCCTGGCCGCTCACACAGGGACCTGGGACCTGGTCTTTCCACTCCACAGCACAGCCTCTCTGGCCCTAGTGCCCTGCATGCTTTCACATTCTGCCCACGTTCCTTAGTCTGCCACCTCGGAATTCTACTTCCTTCTACCCACAGCAGTCTCCAATTTTTTTCTTTTTGACAGTAGTGGGGATTAAACCCAGGGCCTTCACACTAAGCTATATCTCTAGCCTTTTTTTTTTGGAGCTAGGGTCTCCCTATATAGTTCAGATTGGCCTTGAATTCACTATGTAGCCTGGGATGACCTCAAACACTTAGTGATCCTCCTGCCTCAGCCTTCCAAGAGGTGGCATTATAAATGTGTGCCACCATACCCATTTTTTTTTTTTTTTTTTTTTTTTCTCTGTTGTCGTTGTTGAGACAGGGTCTTGCTAAATCACTGAGTTGCCCAGGCTGGGGAGAAACTTGAAACTCTCCTTCCTCAGCCTCCCAGATTACTTGGGATTACAGGCATGCACCACCATGCCTGGCTTTTCTGTTGTTTTTTTAATCAAACTTGCCTCTTATTTCAAGCCCTGCTGTAATTTTTAATTTTTAAGATTGTTTTTGAAGCCTCTTAGATCTGAACATGTGATATTACTTTTTCCAATGTGAATACCATCCACAGGTCATTTTACCTAGAACCCCTCTGACAGAGAAACTGAGGGTCAGAGCGGGCCAGGCCCCTGTGTGTAATTGGAGGGCCTATTGGTGATTCTAGGTTAGAAGTTAGCCTGGCCCTGCTTCTCCTGCAGAAAGGGCTATTTCTTACCAAGAAGAGACCAGCACTGGCAGACCTTGTCTCTTGAATCCTCTTGAATACCAGTATGATCTGTCTATCACACTGGTATTTTTGTCTACTATGAACCTGTTCTACCAGCGAGCACTCAACCCCATGATGAGTCATCTGGTCTACAACCTTGTGTGGTGGCCCCTCAGAGGCCTCACTAAACCGGGGCCCTCTTCCTTGGGGAGTTAGCTCCTGAAGATGCTCTTTGGAGGCCCTTTGCCAGACAGTGCTGGAAGAGCCCTTCCAGCTCTCTCACAAGGCAGCAATGGGATTCCTGACTTCCCCAGAAGAATGTGCTCTGGGTCACACTCACATGCTCCCCTCCTTTGTTTAGGGATCTCTTCCTACCTTCTCTGCTTGACAGCAGCAACGAGGTCAGGCCCTGAAAACATGGAGAACAAGCTGTCTCCGTTGGCTGAAGACGTCTCATCACTGGAGCTGGCTGAGTCTCCCTGAGCGCCTGACCAGCCACTGTGCAGGCTGTCCCTGGAAGGCAAAGAGAAGGTCCCCAGCCTCTGGCAGCCAACCTGGACACCGGCTGGACAGCCGAGGCTGCACCACCCTCCACCCAGCCCGAAAGGAGCAGTATTTACCCTGCATTTATCTCTCAACCAGATAGCAGTCTCGACTGTCCTATTGAAAAACTTAAAAGTTCTCAGCCTTTCCCTTATTTCAAAAGTGATATATAATCCAGTACTAACTTTTCTTTTATTCCACACAGAAGCCTGTGGCTTTTTTGGTTTTTTTTTTGGTCTTTTTGAGACAGGGTCTTAGTATGCAGTTGAGGCTGGCCTTGAGCTCACTTTGTAGCTCAGGCTGGTCTCAAACTCCAAACGATCCTCCTGACTCAGACTCCCGAGTGCTGGGATTACAGGCATGTGCCACCATGCCTGGCTAAGCCTGTGGCTTGTATGTAAAATTTATTTTAGAGAAAAAAGTCAAATGCTCTTTTACCATCTAGCTTTGTTAGCTAGGTAACAACATGGAATGTGAGAAATCCCCACTTATTTTTGTGAGAAAAATCTACAGTTCTTTCAATAGACTAGAATCTGAATCATAGCCTTCTTTTTCTTTTTCTTCAGTTCTGGGAACTTAACTGTGCACGCTACGCAAGTGCTCTACCACTGAGTCACACCCTTAGCCTTTTGTTGTTGTTGTTTGAGGAAGGGTCTATGTAGTTCTAGCTGGCCTTGAACTCACTATGTAGCCCAGGCTGGCCTTGACATCATGGCAACCCTCTTGTCTCAGACTCGCTGGCCCATGCTAGGCTAGGATAGTATGTGCCACCAAGCCTAGCACCTATTTATTTTTATTTATTTTGGGTTTTTCTGAGACAGAATCTTGCAGTGTAGTTCAGGCTGGCCTTGAATTCACTACAGTGTGTAGCACAGGGTGGCCTCAAATTTGAAGCAATCCTCCTGCTTCAGCCTCCTGAGTGCTAGGATTACAAGTATAATTACCATTACCTTTTTTTTTTTTTAAGATAGAGTCTTATTGAGTTGCCCACACTGGCCTTGAACTTGTGATCCTCCCGGGCCTCCAGTGTAGCTGGGATTTTATATAGACCATCATCATCCTTGGCTATCTTTTTTTGTTGTTGTTTGGTGGTGGTGGTGCTGAGGATGGAATTTAGGGCCTTGCATATACCAGGCAAGTGCCCTGACACTGGGCCATACCCCAGCCCCATCCTTGCTATAATGATAGCATTCCACAATTCATATGAGTCTCACAGTCGTGCTCATTGCAGTAAGATCACATTCAACATTACAAACACCGGCAGGTAAGATCTTTGTCTTGGATAGAAAAGTTTGTTTTAAATCGTGAGTTTATATTAATGGTGTATACACAGGGGCACATCATTCTACTTGACAATCTACAGTCATAAAAACTCTGTCCCCCCTGGAGCTTTAACCTCATTACTCTCTCTCAGGGGGCCTGGAACCAAACTGGTAACCAGAGTACCAAAGGTCAATGGGTCTCCCTTCTCACAGACCCCATTTGGTTTGTTTTTTGGTTTTTCTCTGGTACCGGGAACCGAACTCACGACCTTGCGCTTGCCAGGCGGGCGCTTTTGCCGCTGAGCTAAATCCCCAGCCCCACAGACCCCATTTGGGACACCCAGATCCCAAACTCAGCTTTGCTGCTGTACCCAGCACTTACCCTTCTGTGAAGAACTCTGGGAAAGGCCAGGTCCGGTGGGCATCGTCCATGGGCGGCCAGTTTCCCCGGGGGTTGCCAGGGCGGCGACCGTGCTGGGCTTGCCGCTTCTGCTGCATGGCCTGGCTCACACCCGCCACGTAGCGTGCAAATTCCGGGTCTGAGCCCACTGTATTGAGACAAAGGAACAAACAAGGTTTGGACCAAATTGGCCTCTTTGTTCCTTCTGTACCCACTGAAGATGTGCTGCTTGCACATAATGGAAAGTGGTAAGGAGCTGCCAGGTTGTACCCCTAAGACTTGGTTGCAAGCTGTGTCCAGTAGGGTGAGATGGGCCTTTCAGCATGCAGGTGTGAATGTGAGGACGGTGCAGGCACTGTGAGAAAGGGCTATGCCTAGGAGAAAGGCAGGCTGAATGTGAAAGGAAAATAGAAAGAAAGGAAAAAATCTGATATATGTATGACTTTTTTTTTTTTTTTTTGACACAGGGTCTCGCAGGCTGGCCTTGAACTTGCTTATGTAGCTCTGGCTGGCTTCGAAATCATGGTGATCCTCCTGCCTCAGCCCGAGTATGGGATTACAGGTGTGTGCCACCATGCCTGGTATGTATGACTACATCTTAAAGACAAATACAGTGGTACCTCAGTTCATGAACACTTTTGTTTGCAAACAATTTGGTTCACAAACAGAAGTGTTTGGCAAAGTTTTGTTTTTGTTTGCAAACAGCATCGGGTGACAAATATGATCACAGCCATCTTCCCCACACAAACCCAAATGTGGCCATCTTTTCCAAAATCATAGAGCCAATTAAGTTCATAAACTGAGGCACCACTGTACTAATTACTTCTACATTTTCCAAAATCTTGCTGCTATGTACTTAAGAGTACCTACCAACTTAGTAAATCAGATGATGACTTTGGCCAACCAGTAATTTGAAAGTAAGCAAAGCATCACAGTCAGCCAGATAGGGGCTGGTGACATGGCTGGTAAAACACTTGCCAAGTAGGCAGAAGGCCTTGGGTTGGATCCCCAGCATGGGGGTGGAGCAGGGGGAAGATATGGGAGGAAAGTATCTATGGGTTACAAACAAAATACGACTCAACAGTGCATACCTCTTACCTTCAAGTTGGGAAGGATACCGGGGCACAATTTCATTTCTAGCTTGTTTTTAGGGTACTGTGTGAGGACCACTGCATGAGGCCATGCCACCTGTAAACTGCACAAAGGTGCATATACTAGAAGGGCCTGCAATTAAGGACGGATCTTAGTTCTTTCAACCATGCTCCGAGAGCGTGTTTGCTGAACAAGAAGGGGTGCTGTATTCTAAGGTGGTTAACTTGCACAAAGGGCTATACAGACCTTAGGACCTAGGGGTGGCTTCTACAGAAGTGAGATCATGAACTTGTAGGTCAGAAAGGAACACACGTAAGAGTAAGAGATGTAGGTCAAAGACAAAAAATTGTCAGGGCTTCAATGTGCTCAAAGATGATAAAATTCTGCCAAACACTGCTTCTACTCTTTTTTTGAGAGACAGGGTCTGGCAATTCAGTATAGGCAGCTTTTTTTTTTTTTTTTTTAGAGAGAGGGTTTCCCTCTGTAGTGCAGGCTGTCCTTGAACTCATGATTGTTCCTCCACAGCCTCACAAATGCCTATAAAGGGCCATCCACCTTGGCTCCCAGAAATAGGAGCGCCTAGATTGATATCCATTTAAACTATAGGATTATGAGCCATTCACTTAACTTCTTTTAGCTTCAATCCTGTCCTCTATGAAGCGAAACATAATTACAATTACCTTTCCATCTCTTCATCACAATTGCTTTTCCTCTTGCTAGATCTGGCCTGTACTTGCTTCTTACACAGTGAGAAAAGGGGATTAAATTCTTTTACCTTTGTAAGTGTCACAGACAGGGCTTAAGAAGCACTATTATTTATGTATGTATGTATGTATGTATGTATGTATGTATTTTTTGAGACAGAGGCTTGCTATATATTCCAGGCTGGCCTTGAACTCAAGGTGATCCTCCTGCCTCAGCATCACCTCCTGAATGCTGAGGTTCCAGGTATGCACCACCACACGCAGCCAGAAAAGTCCTAGATTTTGTGTTCCAATGGTATAAGAAATGGGAAGGCCAAGGGGCTGGGGATTTAGCTCAGGGGCACAGCGCCTACCTGGCAAGCGCAAGGTCGTGAGTTTGATTCCAGGTACTGGAAAAAAAACCAAAAAAAAAGAAATGGGAAGGCCTCACGTACCTGCAGGATCAAAAGGCAGAATCTCTCCCAACATTCCAAAGACTCCATCACTTTGGTCACGGTTTGGCCAGGTGTTATTTCTAGGTCCCTGTGGCTTTTGTCCCAAAACCTCAGACATCACATTATCCATATAGCTGCTCACTAGACCCAAGCTGTACAAGTCAGAACTAAGATCAGTTATGCCAGGCCACTGAGCCAGAGGAGACAGACCTGGTCCCATGGGCTGTGCTGGCTGCTGGGCTGAGCCATGTACCCATTTTCCAGGTGCCTGAGGCTGAGGTGGGGGCTGCTGTGGCCCAATAGGTTGCAGCAGGTGTTGGTAGTATTGGACCTGGGGCTGTTGTTGCTTTGGGGACTGTTGCTGAGGTGCAAGACCCGGCTGGGGTGTCAGAGTTGTGTGTGTTCCAGCTTGTGTTGGCCGTGCTGGAGGAGGCATTGGCAGTGATGGCTGCTGCGGCTGCATGGCTCCTGCCTTCTGCTCAGTCACCATGGCTGTAGCAGCAGAATTGCGTCTTGTCACCAATGGGGAGCCCTGATGCGACTGGCCCATGTTAAAGCCTGAGAGAAAATCTATCACCTCCTGCATTTCCTGATCAGTCGGTAAGTTCATACCCTTCTCATCCTTGCCGTCATCACCATGCAGGAAGTTCTCACGCCTCTCCAGGAGAAAACCATTGGCCATGGGATTGTTGGAATTCTGAGCTGACTGTGAAGGATCTGTAGTCCTAGGGAAATTACCAATGTTCAAAATACTTTGTAACCGTGTATCAATATTACCAGGCATTTTGGCCTTCTCTTCTGAACACCCAGCTATGAAGACATTTTTGGAAGGGGTATTTGGGATGGAATAACTTGTGCTGCTGCTAGAGCTGGTACATGATGCTTTCTTGGTGAACCGGGATGTCAGTTTGGAGAACGTCTTCTGGAGGCCACCTGAAGATTTGTTTCCATTTCCAGCAGGCAGGTCAGCCTGATTCCCAAAGTCACAAATCTCTCTTTGAAGCTGGATCTGTATACAAGGTAAAGCTTGTTCCCTATTTAGGGACCAAAAAAAAAAAAAAAAAAGAAAGAAAGAAATCAAATTTACATATGGGAGAATGAAATGGACCTCTTTGTATTTAAGAATGACTTTGATGCCTAGCATGCATGAGGCCCTGGGTTCAATATTCAGAAACACACACACAGACTTTAACAACAAGAAAGATCCCGTGGTTAGTAACAGGTTCATTTACTTTATGGATACATAAATGAACACTCAAGGAGGGCTTGAGTGTACATAATCTATAGCCTCTACTACAGGGTTGAGAAAATGGTTAACATTTGGTAGCAAGGGAAAGCAAAGCACAGCTAGACTGAGGGATGCAACTGGCAGGGCCTGGCTCTGTCTTCAGGACAGGAACCAAGAGCCAGGCAGATCCAGAAGGACAGTGGACAAATCTGCACAGTAGAGGGTGGTGTCGGGGAGGACTCCCATCACTATACACTACTGCTGTTGAATGGACCGGCTGTTACTTCCAAAGAGTTCTGAGCGCTCTTCCTGTGCTATTAAGAGAACGCTAAAGATAGAAAAGGCAAAGGGCAGGAGCTCAGGCAGGTGATGGCTGGTGTAACTATGCAGAAGTCACATCACTGTTATCAGCCTTTGTGTGTGTACTCAGGAGTTAAGAAATGGAGAAGAGAGCTAGGTGTGGTGGTGCATGGCTGTAATCCCAGCACTTGGTAGGCTAAGGCAGAAGGATCCTTGTGAGTTTGAGACCAGCCTGGGCTACAAAGTGAGCTCAAGGCCAGCCTGAACGGCACAGCAAGACCCTGTCTCAAAAAGATCCCCCTGCCCAAAAAAAGAAATGGAAAGGAGGCTTAGTTAGATGTTTAAGATCTTTATCAGCCCCAATAACAATTCACAAAGATATAACCTGGCAACTATTAGCTACTTTCAGATACAAGTAAATTTCATGAAGGATATGTAAGTAAATTTTCTACACATTTTTCTGCTCTCAGTTCCTAAGGAGATTGTGAATTAGACTGAAAGTTCCCTCCATGGACTTACTCTCATGATAAAACAAATGAGGGCAAAGTGTGAACAAACTGGGGAATGTGAATAAGTGGCAAAGAGCAATTCTTTGGTCTACTCTTGTAATTATTCTATAAGTTTGAATGAACCCCCAAATAAAAAGTTACTGAAGAGCTCTCTTTCTTGCCTATTTACCCACACACTATCAGTGACACAAACACACGTAAAATTTTTTTTTTGTCTCTTTTTTTTGAGACAGGGTCTCACTATACAGTTTAGGCTGGCCTTGAGCTCACTTTGTAGCCCAGGCTGGTCTCGAACTCGCAACGATCCTCCTGCCTCATCCTCCCAAGTGCTGGGATTGCAGGCGTGTGCCACCACGCCCGGCTTCACACATAAAATTGTATGAGGTCACATCACCTCTGGGTGTGAACCCAAATGCACAGTTCTGGCACAGACAAGTCACGTGACAGGTAGGGACACTAACCTCCCTGCCCTCCAGCGGTTTAGGTCCAGCACAGCTGTGTAGAGCACATCCACCAGCCCCAAGGTCTTCTCAGGATCCAGGCTTCTCTGCAGCAGGGACATGGTGGCAGGGTCTTCCTTCAGGCACCTAAACACAAAATAGGCTGCATTAGTTTTGGTGGCACTTCCTCATGCACAGGTTTCAAGCAAGTTTCATGGAAAAGGCTACAACTCTTATAAACTTTTGGTGTCCAATACAAACTCAGTAACTATAAGAACATTTAGAGAATGATAGGGCTAACACTGGAACTCACTGCTCTGCAAAAAGTAGAAGAAACAATAACACATAGGGTCTCGTGACAGTAAGAAAAAAAAAAAAAAAGAATATTTCCAGTGAGGTTATGTCCTGATAAAGCCACTGTAGGAAGAAACTACTGTAAGTAAAAAATGCATTTAATACATATCTAACCTAAAAAAATCATAGTTTAGTCTAACCTACCTTAGTAATTCTCAGAACATATTCACTAGCCTATTGGATGAAATCATCTAACGCAAGCCCATTTTATGTTGGATATCTTATATAATTTACTGAATACTATATGGAAAGTGATAAACAGAATGGTAGTATGAACAAGCTTTCACACCATTGTAAAGTTGGAAAAACTGTTAATTCCATTTTTTTTGAGACAGGATCTCATAATTCAGGGTGGCCTTGAGTTCCCTAGCTCATGGCAATCCTCCTGCCTCAACCTCCCAAGTGCTGGGATTACAGGCGTGCACCACCATGCTCAGCCAAAACTGTTAAGTCGAACCATAACGTTATCGATGGTATGCATAAATTTGGTTTTTGTCTCCAGTTCTTGACACAGCAGCATACCCAGGTATATAAAGCAAATAATAATGGACATGAAAAATCAAATAAGCATTAATATAATTGTAATGGAGGACCTGAATACCTCACTGTGACAAATAGATCAAGTAGACCAAAAAATCAAGACAGATATAGCAGAACAGAACCAAATTTTTAAACAAATGGACTTAGTAGGGGAAGTGTGTTCCATCCCACAACATCAGAATACACATTCTTCTCAGGTACATACAGGTATTCTCCAAAACAGACCACATATTAGCTCATATAACATGCTTAAGTAAATGCAAAGGAATTAAAATTATCTTATGCATATCATCAGACCATAGTGGAACGAAATTGGAAATCAATGGTAAAGGAAACCAAAAAAACTTCAAAAACATATGGAAATTAAATAAAACTCTCCTGAACAACCAATGGGTCACAGACAAAATTAAAGAAGGAATTAGACAATTTCTACAAATAAATGATAATGCCAGTAAAACATACAGGAACGTATGGAACACAATGAAAGCAGTCCTACGAGGGAAATTTATAGTGGTGAATCCTGTATCAGGAAAACAGAGTGAGTTCAAATAACCTAATGTTGAACCTCAAGCTTGTAGAAAAAGAGGAGCAAGTCAAGCCCAAAGCTTGTACTGAAGGAGAAAATTATAAAGATCAGAGTGGAAATTAATGCAATTGAGACTAAGAAAACAATACAAAGAATTAATGAATCAAAGAGTTGGTTCTTTGAAAGATTAAAATTAACAAACCCTTAGTCAACCTTATTGAAAAAAGGAAAGAAAAGACTCAAATCCATGCAATTTGGAATGAAAAGGGAGATATCACAATGAACCCTGCAGAAATCCAGATCATTAATACCTACTTTGAGAACCTGTCTTCTATTAGGGTGGAAGACACAGAAGAAATGGACACATTCCTAGATACATATGACTTACCAAAGCTGAATCAAGAAGATATAAAAATTCTAAATAAGCCCATATTAAAAGCTCTACCAACAAAGCAAAGCCCAGGCCCTGATGGATTTATTGCTGAATTCTATAAGAAATTTAGAGAAGATCTAATGCTGCTACTTCTCAAACTCTTTAATGAAACTGAAAGAGAAGCAATACTTCCAAATCCATTCCTGGAAGCAAGCATTACCCTGATACTAAAACCAGAGTAAGACCAAACCAAAAAGAACTACAGGCCAATCTCCCTAATGAATATAGTTGCAAAAAATCCTCAGTAAAATATTGGCAAACAGAATGCAGCAAATTATCAAGAAGATCACACATCATGACCAAGTAGGATTCATCCCAGGGAAGCAGGGATGTTTCAACATATACAAATCAGTAAATGTAATACACTGCATTAACAGAGTCAAGGACAAAAACCATACGATCATCTCAACAGATGCAGAAAAAGCATCTGACAAAAGTCCAACAAATAAAAACCCTACAGAAAATTGGAATAGATGGTCTTCATCTCAATCTGATAAAAGCCATCTATGATAAACCAACAGCCTACATCATACTAAACGGACGGAAACTGTAAGCTTTCACTCTAAAATCAGCAACAGGACAAGGACGTACACTATCACCACGTGTATTCAATATAGCTCTGTTAACAGTAGCCAGAGCAATTAGGGAAGAGAAAGAAATAAATAGAGAAAAGGAAAAACTTAAATTATCATTATTTGCAGATGACATGATACTCTACAACAGAAGGCCCCATAAACCCCTCCAGTCCTTGCCAGGCAGGCACTTATACCGCTGAGCTATATCCCCGGCCCCCTCCAGTTCTTGACCCAGAACTGCTAAAACTCTGTAACTTCCTGGGTGATAAGGGTGCTAAGAGCAGCTGTTGTTATGGAATCTGGTCTTTGACCTCAGTCCCTGAGACAGAGCTCCAAATCCCTTGGAATCTGTGGGTGTTCTGTACTAGTGAGATCACTTTTGATGGGCTCCAGAACATCTTCAGGATGGAGGCTGGTTCCCAGAAAGACCAAGCCACCATGAAAAGCTTGGGACTTTCAGCTCCTCCTCAACCCTCTGAAGAAGGGAGCGGACAGAGCTCCAGATCATGTTAATAATCATGCCTACACAATGAGACCACCATAAACCACCTTAATCGATGGGGCTTGGAGAGCTTCGAGCTGAGTGAACACATCCAGGTGCTCAGAGAGGGGCATCCTTGGGGAAGGCAGGCTGGCTGTGCACTTGTTCCCATACCTATGGCCCAGTGTACCCCTCCATCTGGCTGATCCTCTGCAGTACCTTTTATGAGAAGCCAATAAATGTAACTAAAGTGCCGCTGAGTTCTGTGAGCCATAAGAGCAAATTATCAAACCTGAAGAAGGGGTTATGGGAACCCTTAATTTATAGCTAGTTGGTCAGTACATGTGACAACCCAAGGCTAGAGCTGGGGTCTGAAGTAGGAAGCAGTCTTAAGGGGCTGAGCCCTTAACGCCAACTCAGAGTAGTCAGAGTCAGAATGAACATGTAGGACACCCAGACTGTCAGCAAACTGGAGAACTGCTCGGTGTAGGAAACTCACACACTTGGCATCAGAAATGTGTGCATACGAGACTTTGTAGGCTTCCACGCGCTCCTGTCTATGTTGAGTCTATTTAGGAAGAAGAGAAGAACTCAGTGAAGGGGCTGCCTTCAGGGGCCCTAATATCCTCTTACTGTGCAACATCCAGTGCAGCCCTGACTTTCCTCAGGGTCCTGCTCAGCTTCTGTGGTCTGGCATAAAATTTATTCTCTATGACCCCTTTTCTGCAAAGCTCTGCCCCACTCTTCCTCTAAAGCACTTCATGCTTATACTTAAGACAGTGAGAATCAATGAAGGAAAAACATGCTCACAGCTTGCCATCTGCACTCACTATGAGTTTTGGACAAATAACAAACACGGCCTCCCCATAAATTAGTTTTACTCCTCTTAAGATGACTATTCCTGCCAGGCATGGTACTGAATGCCTGGAATCCCAGAATTCTAAGGAGCTGGGACAGGAGGATCACAAGTTCAAGCTCAGACTGGGCAACTTAGCCCAGTCTTAACTTAGACTCTGTCTTAACAAGAAAAAATAAAATGAGTTGCGTATGGCGCTTAGTGCCAAGGTGATGGGCTCAATCCCCAGTACTGCAAAAAAAGGATTATTTCACACTTCTCCTTTCTCCCCAGTGCAATGATATGCCTATCACTGCTCCCATTTTTTCCTGTCTCAGCTCTCAATAACTGAGAAAATAAGGCTGGGTGTGGTGGCACAGGGCTGTGATCCCAGCACTCGGGAGGCTGAGGCAGGAGGATCACTGAGTTCCAGGCCCACCTGGGTTACAAAAATGATTTCAAAGCCAGCCTGAACTGCATAGTGAAACCTTGTCTCAAAATGGCAAAAAAACCCCACCAAAAACAAAAAACCAAAAAAACCAACCAAACAAATAAAAAACTGAGAAAACACACGTGAGCAGATGAGAGCTACTTTGTTTTCACTCTCCACTAATTCTGCCAGTTCACTAGTCTGTGTCCGCACATCCTGCCTTCCCTCCTGTCTCAACACAGGCATAATACGCAAGCTGAGCATGGTAGGGCCCACTTGTAATCTCAAATTCTGGGAGGATGAGGTAGTAGAACTGCAAATTCAAGCCTAGTCAGGGCAACTTGAGAGACTCAGCTAGACCTTGTCTCAAAATAAAAAATAAAAAAGCGTGGGGGATGTAGCTCAGAGTGAAAGCCCTGTGTTCAATCCCTAGTACCGGAAAAACAAAAACAAGAACAGGACTAAACCTGTCCTATTGACAAATCATCAAGATTTGCTTAAAATCCTCCACCTGTGCTTAAATAAAAACCCAATTCCCTCATCGTCATCACCACCTCTAACCATGCCAGTTTATTCCCCAGGCCTTTGCATTTGGTGTTCCTTCTGCCTGCAAGGCTTTCTCCATCTGCTCTGCATGGCCAGCTCCTCTCAAATCAAATATCACATTCTTAAAGTAAGTATCACACCGTTTCTGACTGACCTCACCACCTAAAATAGTCTCCCCTCCTCTCTACCTTAATTTTTCTCAATCACACGTCACTCTCCTCATATGTCCTTCATTCACTTGCCAGCGCTTGAACTCATCTCTTCAGCTTATTAGTTATCTCCTCCTCTTCCTCATTACAAAGTCAGCTGTATCAGAGGCAGAAGCCTTGTCTGTCTTGCTCCTTATTAACTTTCCAGAGCCCAGAGTAACGCCAGACACAAAGCAGACATTTAGTAAATGTTTGCTGAAAGAAACAACGGGTGTATTGCCTTTTTAAAAAAGTTTAAAATAGTAAAGTAGGCATTTGTTTAGAAAAAATACAGTACTGTTGGGCAACTGGGCACTAAAAGCATAGTATATAATAATAAATTCTTCCTCCTCTTTTTCTGGTGGTGCTGGGGATTAAACCCAGGGCCTCATGCATGCTAGGCAAGCACTCTGCCACGGAGCTACATCCCCAGTCTGCACATAATAAATTCTTCACTTGCTTTGCTAGCAATATTATTTTTCCAAAGATGGTTAAGCAATTACTTCTGTTTGCTTTCTTTTCAATAAGCACTTATTTTGCACAGGTTGAGCATCCCTAATCCAAAAACCCAAAATGCTCAAAAATCCCAAACTTTTTGAGGGCCTTTATGACAACACAAGATGAAAATCTGACACCTACCTGTGACAGGTCACAGTCAAGACTTACTTAGGTTCACTTAAAATACTGTATAAAATTACCTTTAGGCTATGTGAGTAAGGTGTATACGACACACAAATGAGATTTGTGTTTAGATTTGGGTTCCATCCCCAAGATGTATCATTATGTACACATGCAAATATTCCAAGATCCAAAGTACTGTATTTGGGGGCTGGGGATTTAGCTCAGCGGCAAAAGCGCCTGCCTGGCAAGCGCAAGGTCGTGAGTTC